AGGTGATTTCTAATTCCTGCTAGCAGATGTTATCTTGTAATTAGTTTTTAATGCAGGAGGATGTGAGAGGGGAGGGTGGGAGAGTTTGTACAGTATATATGTTGCAGCTACGGCTTTGTGTTTGTTCAGCGATAACTTACTTTCTGTGAACTCTCTGCATTCATCAAGTTCAGTCCTATATAATGAAGCTCTCACAAGGCAATCTCGGATAAAATCGTTTCATCCTTTACACGAGCTTCCCTGGTGGCCCAGTGGGAAAAGGCATTCCCCTAGAGCAAAGCTAAACCGCACAAAATCAGTTTTCAATCCCAGTCTATGTTGACTTAATTGATCTCAGAGGGGTAAGCGATAAGGGTGCAATAACTGGCCTCAGCTCCCCTGGGCTCGGGAGGGGGAAGGGAGAAATAAGACAGAGTTACTGCAACTGATCACCTTCCGGTGATCCCGACTGGCAGTCTATGTGCATTTACTAATAATAAAAATATGTTTTGCGTTTGATATAGTGCCTTATCAAGTCATCAAGATGTCTCTAAATGCTTCACATGGTTTTACTGTGAAATGTAGTAACTGTGTAGTATTGTCACAGATCACAAGATTGGGCTGGATGAAGAAGGTCCTTCGGCCCATCCAATCTCATCCCTCCAGTACACCCATCCTACCATCCCCTCATCACTGAATCAAACTGCTTCTTAAATGAGTCCAGTGTCCTGGCTTCTACCAAATTTCCCGGCAACCTGTTCAAGTTGTTAATTAACTTCTATGTGAAGAAAAAAATCCTGATACCTTGTCCTGAAATTGCCATTTGCAACTGTAAACCTATGTCCTCTTATTCCACTGCCTTAATACAAATAATTGATCTGGATTTGCCTTTTCAATCCTTTTGAAAATGTTGTGCTCTCTCTGAGGTCCCCTCCAAAATGATAATAATAATAATAATAATAATGATCCTTGCATTTGATATAGTCCTCTACTAGGTATTTGTAGGTAAATGTGGAGGCAAATTTGCACACACCAAATTGAGTGACCAATTTTATCTAGGGATTAGGAGGGGAGACTGTCGGCCATGATTGTTGGCCACGTCAGGCAGGAGCAGGATTGAACTGTTCGGTCATGTTCCATACAGTCAAGCCGCCTGCTGACATTTACTGTAGGGCTCATGTATCCTCTTGGGCAAAGAGCTGCACTGAGGCAACTTCAGGGATCTATATCCTCTCAGAAAAGGCTGCATTTCCAAACCTTCCCACCTCCCACATTGTAGCCCAGAAACAAACACTGATATCATATTAGTAAAAGTACTCATATGTCTGGAGCAGTACTGTTAATGTAATATGAGCTCCACACCAAAACTTAAACCAATTTTTAAACTAAGAGCATTAAACACTTTATTTCCTCCTCTTCTCTTCTTCCCGGTTCTTCCTTTCCAATTATCATAACTTTAACGGAGGATTTACTTACTTCTCCAGCTAATTTTACCATTTCTAACATTTGTGTTACTTTTTTCTCTTAAACATCTGGAGTTTTGGAAAAATGTGGCAGACATCATCAATCTCGGGGGACTCCTTTGTTGTGGGATTAGAGGAGCATTGCTGGCTCAGGAGATATTCACTGGCCTTGCACTTTCAAAATTAAAAACGTATGTGTTAAATTACCAACTGGATAATACTGTAGTTTGTGAAACTGCATTACAGTCCATACTGAACTCAACTGTCTGAGCAGTTCTTTTTAATGAAAATATAGAGGTGGTTGCATACTGAACCGGACCAAACTCCGTAGCCACATCTCACTCCCTCTCCGACCTCCTCACTCCCCAGTCTACCACCCGGCTCCTCCGCTTGACTGGCACCGGCCTCCTGCTCGTTCCTTGCACCCTCCGCCCCACCATTGGAGTTCGTGCTTTCAGCCACTATGCTCCGAAATTCTGGAACACTCTCCCTCAATCCCTCTGCCTTGCCCCCTCTCACCCCTTTTTCAAGTCCCGCCTGAAGACCTTCCTCTTCGACTGTGCTTACAGCCACCTCCCCCACCGGCTCGGAGTCAGGCTCCACCATTGTTAAGCACTCTGAGATGCTACCCTGCGTGGAGGGCGCTATGTAAATACAAGTTGTTGTTGTTGTTGTTGATCTGATCACAGGATAAAAAAAACTTTGATTATCAGAAAGTATTAAAAGAAAGTAAAAACTGGAACAGGTGTCCAGGAAGATGTAATTGACAGGATACCAGACTCAGTTAACAAAAGGCTTGACATTGTGATGGGAAGGTGGTGGGGTTTGGTGCTCTGGGAGGATGAGAAAGCGCTCCGGGACGCTACCCCACGTGAAGGGTGCTATATATAATATTGTTGTTGAGAAGTACTTCATCCCGACCTCTCTTGGGATTTTAACAGTGTCCCTTTTGCTGTTCCAACACTGAAACAATTGAATGTAAAAAAATCTGGAGGTTTGGGGATTTCTGTATATCTGTTCCTACTTTTATACAAATTGCTTTACTGGACTACAGTTTTAGTCCATGGCATTATCATTGGGACCAGTCAACGAATGCATGAAAAAGAATTAACTTAATATAAACTTTGGAGTACATTCTACATTTCACCTCTCAAAGCCGGAATTTTAATAAGGATCCATTACTTGTCAGAATAGTTGACCTTTCCTCTTAGCGTTTTCTGCCAGGGATTTACTCTTAGGCCTCTACAAATTTAATAATGTTCTTCTTTTACCTTGATAAGTTCCAGATTCAGTATCTTGAAACTGTGAAATTGTTTTTATCGGTCTAGGGCTGACTGTGATTTGGAGGTAGGGAGAGACAAAGACTTCTAGAATGATGAGTGGATATAAGATTAATAGATGTGAAAAAGGAAAAACAAAAGAAAAGCTCATGGGAAAAGAAATGATCTTTGAAATCCTTTAAATACAATAATTAAATGTTATTCCATTTAGAAACAGTTTTTATTGTTACTCACATTGATAACTCCATGGGAATTTTTAAAAACTTTTTCATGTAATCTCTGGGTGCATCCAGCAAATTAACCCAGAACTTGAACAAAAAGTTACAATTGAGGACCTCTTCACTGATCTAAACCTCGCCAATGGACTGAGATGTTGGAGATAAGTGGATATATATTGAACATGTAAAGCTGCTACAAGTCTTGTAATAGTTACTAAGGTTTGGATTATTTTAGTAATATAAATCACAGTTACTATCACAGAATCACAGTTAACATGTGTTGACAGCAATGCCCAGGACACACTCATAACAAATAGGGATGAGTGTACATACAAAATGACCATAGAATTACATAGAAAGTTACAGCATAGAAACAGGTTATTTGGCTCAACTAATCTTGGTCGGTATTTATACTCCACACCAGCCTCCATCCCTCCTAATCCTCTCTCCTGTAGCCCTCAATTCTCTTCTTCCTCGTGTATGCATCTAATTTCCTCTTAAATACGTTGACACTTTCTGCTTCAACCACAGGTTTCACATTTTCATGAACTTCTGTATGAGAGAAGTTCCTCCTAAACTTTCTTTTAGATCCGCTACTGGCTGTCTCACAGTTTGAGTAGTAGTGAAACCAGAAAGAATTGGCTTGTAAAGAGAATACATTTTAGGAGTAAACGAAGAATACATTTAAGTACTTTCTGCACAATTTTGCACAGTCTTAAATATTAAAGCAAAATCGTCTCACGGGCTAAGACTAGGTGGAATTCGGAGTGTCTGATGTCCCTGTCCGAGGTGCATGTGGGTGGCTGTCAGGTGAGGACAGAAGTGGGCTCAGCTGTAAAGTCTCTGTGGCGGAATAACTTGCCAGCACTCACTGTCAGGGTTCGCACATGAATAATGAGAGAGGTGCCAGAGGGCAGTGGGCGCCTGCGGATCCATGCCCCAGCCAGAAGACGAGGAGAGAAAACTGGCGGCGACAACAACAAACAAGAACAAAAAAATCCCCTCAAAAATAACATTAAAAATGAACGAAATAGAAAAAAATACAAGGAAAACTGAAAGGCATGAAGTCAAGTATGACAGATGCACTGTCATAAAATATTAGTGATTAACTCTATAGACAAAAACAAGGTGACTGTTTCTTCCCTCCCATAAATCTGTCCTTAATAGTCTGTCTCATAGCCACACTACAACTTTGTGCGAGAAGCATATAATAGAACAATTTCAAATGAAATTGAGTGATGCCTCACTGGCACACGAGGTAACCAAGATTTACAGTGCTCTGCTGAGTGGCAGGCAAAAACGCAAACAAGACGAGACGAGATGCCAGGAAAGTCAAAGCAAGGAGGATGTAGCACAGCAGACTGTGAATGTGGCTCGGCCACTACGTGTCAAACGTGGAGACACCACAGAGCTGCATGAGATGAGGTGAACCTTCATGACAGACCATTCTGCCCAAGCGTAAACCTGAACACACAAAGTGAAGATAACGAAAAGGTACAAATCGGAAACAAAATGTGAATTAAAATGGGTGCGGTGAACTGTGTGTAAACATTTCGCTTTCGGGGAGGAAGAAGAGCCAAAGGCACCATACTGCGTTTTGTTCATCATGATGTCAATATGATGAGAGCTTCATTGTGACTGAAGTGCTTGAGTTTCTGACTATGTTTTGCAGCATATAATCACTTTATACAAAAACTATAATAATGATCATAATAATAATAATCCTTGCATTTGATATAGCACCTTATCACATTTTTGAGACGTCTCAGAGCGCTTCACAGAACATACTTCTGAAAGGCGTTCTACAAATGTAATTTTGTTGTTGTTATTGTACTTTAAAGTGAATTGTTGGTGTATTTTAGTGAGTGAAATGCGGCAGCCAATTGCACACAGCAGTGTCTCACAAACAGTTGTGAATTCAGTGACCAAATTATTCTTTCAAATTTATTTTGAAGGAATTATTACCCCCAGAAAAGCAATCCGGCAATCAACTAACAACAGGTTCCTACTTACTGCTAGGTAAACAGAGGCAGGTGGAGTAAGGAAACTTGCCCAACATTTCACCCTACCGGGAATCGAACCCAGGTTCTCTCACTTTCAAGGTGAGTGCTCTTACCACTGAGCTACAGGACTCCAGCTGGTTATCTGGTTTAGTTCCATTCTTCCGCTACCATCTCTACCGTACCTGCCGCCATCTCCCATGCCTGACGTCCTACCCCATCCTTGTAAAGTGCTCCGTGACGTTACCTTACATGAAAAGCGCAATATAAATGCAAGCTGTCGTTGTACTTCCCTGTATTTCATGTCAGAAACCTAAATACCTAGTTTGTTTCAATAGAATTAAATGGAGTGGAGTCCTGTAGCTCAGTGGTTAGAGCACTCGCTTTGCAAGTGAGAGACCTGAGTTCAATTCCAGGCCGAGCGAAACTTTGGGCAAGTTTCCTTACTCCACACAGAGCCTAATAATAATCCCTCCAAAACAAAACAATAATAAATTGGTCATTTTCAATCTATGACTGTTTGTGGGACATTGCTGTGCGCAATTGGCTGCCGCGTTCGCCCACAAATATACAGTCAATTCACTTTGCAGTATGTTCTGTGAAGCGCTTTGGGATGTCCTCCCGACGTGAAAAGCGCTATATCAAATGCAAGGATTATTATTATTATTATTATTATTATATTAAATCCATATACAAAACATCAATGCTCAAATGTTGCTAACTTATTTTGTCTGAAAATCCTCACATTGCTGTTGTGTAAAATTGAGAGTAAATCTATTACCAATTATTTAAAATTGAATTAAGAACTCAGGCCTGTATGCCATGCTACTTGAGGTAATATATGACATTTGTGCGTGCAATGCAAGCGGTTTCTAAAATCTGTGTTGAAGCCAGAAAGGGCCATCGTGTTGGCTCGTGTTGGTTCAGTGAGTCCATGTTTGGCATTTTCATTTTGAAATGTTAACATTCGTGCAGGTTGTCATATTACTTTTGACACAATGGGTAAATCTGCTTTTGACCTTTTCAGTTTTGTGTTGCATTCCAGCCAAAACGTGCTGTCACGCTGCTTGTGATACATGGAAAGCTAAGTCCACATCTGACATGATCATTTCATAGTTATCATGTTAAATGTGGTCAATTTTGCAACTTAATGAGTGAAACAGAGGATCATAACAACCTGCAGAGCAGCACTGAATCTTCACCCTTTGCCAATGAGATATAAATAAAACAATGTGTGAAAGTTTTTTGGGGGAGATGAGTTTTGTGTTTAGTTAAGCAAAGAACACATAAAGTACACTATCCCATTTTGGACAACAAATGCCAACACCAAGTAGAACTGAGTCAGGCTTCATGGGCAGTTGAGCTCCAACTATTCTATCCCAACAATAAACGTTGACACCTCCAATGACAAGGATTCCGTTTCCCACTTAATAACCTTAGTTAGCAGTGGAGGAAGAAGTCTAATGCCCACTAGGAACAGTGTGAATTAGACAGAGCCTGGGAGACTGCCCAAATTAAATTCACATGAGACCTTACTGGCAACCAAGAAAAAAGACTTTCATTTTATTAGTCCAGCCAGAATTCAAACATAAGTCCTGGAGGAAAAGGTCTGTGTGTGAATCAAGGACCTCTGCCACATCCATTCCCATCATTCTCATTGTTTATCCCTCAATCAGTTTCTTTCAAAAACTATAGAAAACCAATGTCAAAGTTGAGACCAAATTCAACAATTTGCCAAATTGTAGTTGCTAAAGTGCCACAAAAATAGGAGTAAATCTATTTATTTATTTAGTGGAATTTCTCACTCTCCCCCACTCATTGACACTTACAAAGATTCAGCTCAAATTTGTTCAACCCTAAAACCACCACAACATAGTTAAATTTATCATGAGCAATTTATGCAACAATTTACTCCCCACCCAACCACTCACTCAGTCAAAAAAGACTTATGTTCAGACNTTTTTTAAATAAAAAGCATGCGCATAGTTGAAAAACATGCTTTGAATTAATCACTGTGAAGGGGTCAGTTATGTTATTAACAGTAATATTTATTGTCAGGAAATCTTCTCATGGTCCTACATCTCAAATAAAGCAAAAAAAGAAAATCTGCAACTGTTCTGCTGAAATTATTTTTCCTGAATAGGCTAATGGACAACTCAGTATGAGAAATATTTTTAATAAACCAAACGGTGCATTAAATCAGAGAACAGGCATTCAATCCTCCCCTTTGTCATAAGTGGTGTCATTAGCTTGTCTTTATTCACTCAGAATAGAAAAGCGTTCATAAAAGTCAATTCACTTAAAAGCTTGTGAATATTTGATGAGTTTTTAAGGGGAAGAGTTTTTTTTCCCCAAAGAGTTAAATCACTTAGAAATAGACAGCAATTGTTTATTCCATTATCCTGAATAGTTTCAATTAAATGCTTTTAAGTTCACACTCAGAAGTACACGCAAACATTTGCTTTTTAAAAGTCTGTAGCCGTGCCAAAGCTATCTCGTAGCAATGAGAGTGTGTCAACTTTTTGTCAAGTAGGCGCTGCATTTGTGAATGTTTGCAGAATTTTACTGAACCAATGAAACTATGCGCACAAAAAGCCTGGAAGGTGGCCAGAGAAAAGGAGAGCAAGAATGCGACTTGAAAGGTATTAGCATATGGATGGAAACTTTGATTATCTGATGAGTTCCACAATGCTGTCTGGTGCAATAATCCTGCCAACTTGGCTGGAAAATAGGAAGCTGCTAAAACAGCTGTCACAGCTGTAATAAATTCCCTGGGCATCGACACCTGCAGCTTAAGCAGCTGAGAACTCATAACAGTGAATTATCGCTCTCACAGACACTTTCACAATGGAGAGTGACTATTCATTCATGTCCGGCCACAGAAATAGTCCAACTTACAATGTGACATTCACAAGACTCTTTCTACCCCAATTTGAACTGTAACCCATGTCCGCTTTCTTTTACATCATTGAGATGCTGTTTGTTAGATTTCCATGTGCCACTTGCTCTCTGCGCGGTTGCAATAATAGGACTAATGGGCATCTTGCTGTGTCTAGGGAACTGTAGGGTAAATGGTGCTACATTGGAACTTCAGTAACAAAAAGTCAAAATAGACCATTTTGCCTGAAGTGCAATGTGGTATGGGACCATTTAGTATTCAGTCCGTTTCCAGTATGTCCCTAATCGCTGCCATGCCGTCCTCTTCCAGCAAGCAAGGTGTGAAATAAACTGAACTCTGCCATTGTAAGGACTATGCATCAGGGTATTCATAGGCTCAGGGTTCTGAAGATCAGGTTTAGGGTTACTTGCAATTAAACTATACTATTACCGTTTCAGGTCAGGTCAGGCTGACTTGAACTGGCATCAAATAAAATCAAGAAACTGCACAAGGTCCAAATTGTGTGAAACAAAACCTTTGGGTGACCCTCAACTTGTTTCTCTCTTTATATTGCCTGGAATATTTAGGTTATTATTAAAAAACTCTCAGTCTTACCATTTAAGAGATCAGTTACTTCAGTGTTCAAAGTTTTGCAAGAGAGCAAGCGCAACCTCAACCAATGAATTGGTTATTATTGGAGGAATCCACGGTGGAGATTGCAGTAACTTATGACCTCGTTGTAATCCAAGCGAAAAAAATCCAAGCAATGAATTGGAATGGTGTTGTGCGATGCATTAACTAGTCCTTATCGTACAATTTCATCCAACGTATTTGCCCAACCAAGAAAACAAATCAACTGTGAACATTACTTAAAGTGGCAAAGTCTAAAAACAGGCAATCAGGGGTTTGACTTGTGAAAATTAGATTTTGAAAGATTGATGGAGGGGGTCATTACACACCTTGAAAGTGCAACCCTTGCCTGGAAATCCAACCAAACTAGCATTTTTTTTAAAAAAGGGGTTTAGCCAGCGAGTCTAATATTCAATGTTTTCTGTTTATCGGGGTGAGGAATGTCAATGCTGGGAAATAAATGTCTTTACGTTCAGCTCATATAATGTTAGTATCACGCATACCCGGTCCAAGAATAAGATGGTCATGCACAGAGTTTAAAGCTCCATTCACTCTGCCAAACAAATGAGCTCAATCTCAGTGTATGCCAACTGCGCCAATGTGAGCTTGATATAATAATAATCCTTGCATTGGATTGCAAATTGTCGATACTTCTCAAATTCTTCACAGCATTTATTGTAAGGTGGAGTGACTGTGCATTTTGTAGGCAAATGCAGCAGACAAGTTGCACATAGCAATGTCCCACAAACAGCCATGAAGTGAATGACAATTTTTTGTGGGGGGAGGGGCATCATTGTAAGTCAGGGGACAGAAGCATTTAAAAGCCATTACTGGAGTGCTCTGTTATCACTTATCAGTCCACTTGAGGCAACTACCTTTCTATGAGTCCATCTGTGCAGAGGTTTCAATGAGGAAGGAATGATAGTTTCCTAAATTACAGGTTCTTACTATTCAGAACAATTATCGGAGATCTGTCCATCCTGAGAATGTATGAATGGAAGAATTCATTAGTTAGATTAGCCTTTGCCCTTTGTTATTGAGCCACTAATAATTGATGGGCTGGACGTGTTGCCTCTGTTGATTGTTCCTTGAATATTAGTAAATCGCTTCATTGCAACTTGCTGCTATTAAATGCAATTTATTATTCATCCACCTTCCTCATTCATTAAGGTGGTGAATTGCTCTCCATTCGAAATTAGTGCAAGGTAGTGGCATGATGCTTATTGAGAGGGTTTTATTTGTGACAATTGTAGAATTCAGAATCTGGTAAGATATCGTAAATCCCTTTTCAAAACTGCGAATTTATTCAGACACCTAGAAATGGAAAAAACAAATTAATATATTCCATGATAATAATTCTTGCACTTGATGTAGCGTCTTTCACGTCGAGAGGACGTCTCACAGTGCTTTACAGGATATACTGTAAAGTGTAGATAGAGTGCACAAAGAAAAACATTTAGCACTGCATATCTGTGTACTCTGGTTTTATCATGAATTGCCATGACCTTGTTTTGCAGAAAAACTCTTATTCGGGTCTTATTTCTTTACAAAAGGTTAAACCTCTCTCAAAGCTATGTGTACCGATTCAACAAAGTCATGAGAATTTTTTTTTGCAATAGATAGTT